AAAAATAGCCATTTTGTTTCAAAACCTCCAGGGGTCTTATCAAGTGATGATGTTGAATGTAATATATATATATATATATATATATATATATATATATATATATATATATATATATATATATATATATATATATATTCTTAACTGTTGCCATCCCTGAACAGTGGACGAACAGGTTGTCCCTGAAACTTTGGTGTCGAGATGCTGAAGGTAACATCTATCATGAAGTGACAAATTAACTAACATTAATCTAATATATATATATATATATATATATATATATATATATATATATATATATATTCAGTTGTATGTATATGAGTTTGTGACCCTGGGTTTCATGCTTTTGTGGTCATCAGACAAACTGGTTTATTTTTAAACAATTGAATCTATTTCTGCTTGTTTGTGTTTGATTATGTTTCGTAGTAGGAGTGGGGAAGTACACGTATACATACAGGTGTACGCATTATAGTTCACACAAACACATCCATATAAACAATATGAGGTTATGCGCAGATACACATCCATGCGTTCGAGCATACATACATACACAATTGTAATACTATTTCGGTGTCGAGACTACACACACACACACACACACACATATATATATATATATATATATATGTATCTATATATATATATATATATATATATATATATATTGAATAAAAGAGACATCGGAAAATAGTGAATAGTTCTTGACGACGCGTTTCGTCATTTGATTTTATCAAGGCAAGTGATGATAAACAAAAGCGAAATTCAAAAATTGTAAAAAGACGCTTCTGTGTAATCTTTTTGTATATTAGTAACTTTTTCTTTTTGACTAGGAATAAGTAGTACTACTTTTCCGATTGTCTATTTTATTTAATTTGTCTTCTTTACAGATTTATTCTGAGAACTTTAACACACTGTCGACATAAAAACAAAAACACACACTTAGTAATGAATCGTAGGCCCTCTAGGCGCTCAAAGAACAGGGCTTCCCTGAGGAAACACCCATTCATCGTGATTGGTGATAGTTCAGAGTTCAATCGACGATAATGTAAATGGGACATCTATTTCCCATATGAGTATTTAATCTTTGAAATAATAAAAATGTCCGATTAGTAATAAATCCATTGATTCTTTAAAAATTGATTTGTTTTTATACTTCGGATACGAAACTGAGCAGATATAGGCTTTTCGAGAAAAAGATACGAATGGAAAATGCTGTTCAGTGACGCTCACTGTACCACAGTGGTAAAAGCACACCGCATCAAACAGTATATATATATATATATATATATATATATATATATATATATATATATATATATATATATATAAAGAAATGGACAAAGTCCGACAATTTATTTATTAAAGACATTTTTATGTTTAACGTTCTTTTTTTATAGATACAAGTATTTAAGTAATAATACTTGTATCTATAAAAAAGAACGTTAAACATAAAATGTATATATATATATATATATATATATATATAGAGAGAGAGAGAGAGAGTCTGTCCATATCTATTTATGTATTCTACTTGTCTGAAAAAATGTTAATGGGAGAGTTATTATTACAGTCAAAAATATGTTTCCCGTTAAATAACCCACAAAGGATTGATAAACCGTAAAAAATAAATGAAATGAAATAAAATCCAAGATAGTTCAAATTCTGTATTTGCGTGATTTTGACTTTTGTATAGACTGATGTATAAATCGAGTTTTTGATGAAATTCTTTGTTAATCTTTACCTGCGTAATAATTTCATTAGATTTACAGCTCTATGTAATACTAAGATTAAGGAGCAATTTTTAGATTCAAACTAGAAAAATATTCACCCGTTACTAGAATTTATCTTTACAACTTATATTTATATAGACAAGTGTGTGTGTATATATGTGTGTGTTTAGATAGATAGATAGATAGATAGATAGATAGATATGAGAATACTTATAGATAGATAGATAGATAGATAGATATGAGAATACTTAAAGATAGATAAATAGATAGATAGATAGATAGATAGATAGATAGATAGATAGATGTTGAAGAGGCACAAATGACACAATATAAAACGAAAACAAAGAAAATTTTGTCTAAACTGGAAAGACGGACAAATTACCCAAACTTTTGGACCTGCGGAAGTTTTCTTAACACGTTTCTAAGAGCCTTAAAAAAAATTGAGATGTGAAATAGTGTTGCAGGAAACGTCCTTTTTGTTGTTGGTGGTGGTGTTTTTCTTTTTTTTGGGGGGGGTCGTTTTTTGTTTGTTTTTTTTTTTCAAACGATACCGCTGAATATAGATACATTTCGAATAAGTCTACTGAAATTCGATGTGTTGTTTTCATTCTCTGCGGGTTTTGGATTCGAACATGGCGTCTTTAGGTCTGAAAGTGTGCAAAACTGGACACCGTATTTTATCGGTAGCGGCAACCGACGAGATAAACGAATATTTTAACTGAAACTCTCTATTATATAATGTACGCATGCGTACAAATTCTTTAACCATTAATTCATTGCCCTTACATTAATGAAAAAGCAAACGTAAAAACTATACGTTGATTTCAAAACATGAGCAGATTTTATCAAACTTTCTATCAGTTGATAGCTTTGCACTTGTTTTAATATTTAAATTTTCCTTTGTGTTGTTGACATTCAGACGTATCACCGAGTGTTTTACAAGTTATCTGCTTAATATAACTTTTTCCCGTAGATCTTTTAGGGATCATCAAACATCAGATTTATGTCTGAGAGATAGCGAGTCAGCTCAAACGAAAATTGATTTTCTACTGCAAATTACACCGGACAGCAATGTCTTTACTTCTGGGGTAAAAACGTGTATTCTCAACTTAACTAAGTACACTGATTTCGAAACTGCACCCGAATATTTCTGTATGGAAGTACATATCATTGGGGACAACTTGTCTTATATTGATTACAATGGACAACAAAAAATACTGGCTACATTAGATTTGTTGCGGGCTGGTATATGCGTTGAGAGATAAACACGTGTGTCTCCTGAAATGCCCACAACAAACATGGCGGACTCGGAGTATGAGTCTATGGAAATAAATTGAAAGAAACGACAAGAACCAATATATATGTACAACAAATGATAATGTATTAACAGTAAAGGGTTACAAATGACAAAGACAAAGATGTGTGTGTCAAATGAATGTGAAAACCTAATGGAAAGGCCTTAGACGATTTCGGCAAAGACAGGATGACAGTAATAATAAATGAAATCTACAACAGCGGTCATATACCAGAAACGCAAGTAGATCTATTTTCATAGCACTGCCTAAGAACTCGGGTACAAACTAATGCGAAAAAACATCGGACAATCAGATTAATGAGCCACATAAAGAAGCTAATAATCCGAATTCTGATGATTAGCGTGCGCAGCAGACTCAGACCGAAAACAGGACCAGAACACCGCGTGGTCGTCAAAGACATTGGAATAAGGAACGCGATATTTATCTTCAGATTGTTATGAGTAAGAACAAACCAATGCAAAATGACGTACACCTGTGTTTTATAGATTACACAAGAGTGTTCGATAAAGTACGCCACAAAGATCTGTTGGGACTGCTCAGGAACTTTGATATATTTGGCGAGGATATTAAAATAATCAAGAATCTATAGTGGCAGCAAACCGCCTGCATACAGATAGAACATGAGTTCAGAAGATATACAAATATAGAAAGGGGTGTAAGGCAAGGATGTGTCTTCTCGCCGGACTTATTCAATCTATACAGCGAAGCGATTCTGGGAGAACTAGGTTCATTATTGGAGGCCACAAACTTAACAACGTAACGTATGTATATGACACAGTGTTGATAGCAGACACAGAAAGAAAGCTATAAAAAAATGTCCTACACTGAAATCCGAAGGCGTATTTCGATAGCGAAGGAAGCATTCCAAAAGCTAAAGAGGAGTAATAAGAAATAGAAAAATAAAAGCTAGAAACAAGGAAACGATTACTAAACTGTTACGTGATATCTGTCCTCCTGTATAGCAATCAGTGTTGGACGATCTCTTTAAAGATGAAGAAGACACTTAAAACATATCGGCTCTTCTTTTTGACTCTTTCATCTGTTCATTTGTACATGATTTGCTGACAACATGAACGGGCGTCATGGAAAATACTCGAAAGACAGTTTATCTGATTAAAACAGACCAGTAATTCGAATTACAAATCAGAGATATCAAAATCAAACAAGTGCGGAAATGTAAATATCTGGTAGTCTTTTAAAAAAAGACGGAATGATTGTGACACTGAAATCCGAAGGCATATTGGGAATAGCCAAGGAAGCATTCTAAAAGCTAAGCAGAGTACTAAGAAAGAGGAAAATTTCGCTAGAAACAAGGAAAAGAGTTCTGAACTAGTGCGTGTTATCTGTCCTCCTGTATGGCTGTGAGTGCTGGACGATCTTCTCAAAGATGAAGTGGAATCTTGAAACAGCATATTGATGCTTCCCTCTGACACTCATGCCGTCATCATTTCTCTGTGATTGTTAAATTCTTCAAAATTTCTTTCCTTGTTATGTATCCCCAAAATTTAAACTCTGTTTCTGATACTAAGCAAAATGCTCCTTTTTGTTTCTATTTCCTTTGAAACATCCTTGCTGCTCGCATGTCCGGTCCATAACATAGAAAACCCCCTTCCGTTGAAAGACGCCTCTGTTGCTGTTTGTCGCCTCTTCATCTGAGTGGAAGATGTCCAGCATCTACTGCCATATAGGAGAATGGATAATACATCGCAGTTTAGCACGCATTTCTTCGTTTCTAGCAAAATTACCCTGTTTCTTAATACTTTGTTTGGCTTCTGAAAGGCATCTTCCGCTATTACGATACGCCTTCGGATTCCGCTGCCAAATTTTCCTTCGTTTGCTATTACACTTTACCGATGTTGAAAATGTGACAATGTTGCCCGTCTGTTCCCGCAGACAATTGTATCCAGCAGCTTCTTCATGTTACGATTATTAGGTATCCGTGGTTTACCACTGATTTACAGTCATATCACGTTGAAATACCGGTTCTCATCCAATCACCAAAGTTAAGCAACGTTAAGCTTGGTCAGTACCTAGACAGTTGACCGCATGGGAATACCAGGTGCTGTAAAGTTGAATGTGGTTTTGGTGTGGTGGGTAACGGCTCGGAATGAGAAATCTTCAAGCAACAGAAATGTAGTTCTACAAAAAGATGCCGGCGATGCCGTGGGCCAAATATGTGAGCAACGTCGAAGATTGGAAGAAAATAGAAACAAAAAGGAAACTTATACTTAACATCAGGAACAGACAGTTGGGCAATCTGGGGCACATAGTGAGGAAAGAGGGCTTGGAAAATCTGATACTCACAGGACAGACATTGGTCAAGAGGAACCGAGGAAAACAGCGCATAACATACTGAACGGATTTGAGTAAATGGATAGCGTAAAAAATAACAGAAAGCAACGCCCTTAAGAGCTGCAAGGGACAGGAAATCGTGGTGAGCCATGATCGCCTATGTCCTGAAGGGACATGGCACATAAAGAAGAAGATCATGAATATATCACACGAGAAAAAGATTCACTCGAGAAAATAAAAATAAAAAAAATATATGCGGATGTGTAACAGATATCAGTACTAAAAGTGAAATCTGCGAGCCGAGTTCAAATTCCGGGTTAGTCTGCTACGTTAACTTTCGTTGTAATGCTCTTGAGAAAGGCATGAATCCACTGATTCTCATGTCAGTTGTGGTCAAGAATACGTCGACTGCATCTCCGTGCAGAAAGAAAAAGATTGTCTGTATATTCTCAAATATAAAACCCGACCAATGCTTACCTACACTCTAGTATAATTTTGAAAAGGAAAAAAAAACAGATTTCGATATTAAATATCCCAAGTGTTGTAAAGTCCACGAACCCCACCCTTGATAGGTTCTACATGGATATACGTGTAGCGTAAGGATTATCCACGTTTAAATTCTAATCGCGTTTATCGCATTGAATTCTTAATAATACCCTTAATCCATCTTTCTACTGATTTAAAATACAGACAAACTGGGCTCTCTTGCTTTGAATGGTGGCTAGTCTAGAAAAACAATTTTGAATTCAATATCAAGCCGAAGAGGGGATGGATTCCGTCAGGTTATCTTGCTTTAGACACACCCAGTACTGCTATGGCTGCATAAAATTTGCTGTCTCTCCATGGCGTAAGACCTCTGAGAATTCGACTATGAAAATGAAAGTGAAATTATAAATTTAAATTATAATAATTTTTTTTTAAATAATTTTAAAGTAATTAAAACATGACTGTTAGTTTCTATCGTCTCCATCGAAGTAGTCTCCTTGGACACTAATACTGCGATTCCAGTAGTTTTCCTCCGGTTCCAAACTACATTCGATTCAAGCACGTTCTTCTTTCTTCTTTTATGTGCCGTGTCCCTTCAGGACGTAGACGATCATGTCTCTCCACTTCCTCCTATGCTCTCAATATGCCTTATCCCCTTGACACCTCCTTCGAACCCTCTTCTGTCATCCACTTGCTTCAGCCTGCTAGGTATGTCACGCGTTGCTTTCCCTTGTCTCTCTTTCCATCTATCCTCCCTGTGAATATCAGATTCTCCAAGCCATCCTTTCTCAGTAGCATCTCATAGAACTGACCTATAGGTTTCATACGGTTTCTAAGCCTCTTAAGTCTTAAGGTAACAATGGTTGCAAGTTCGTGGCTCTAACCACTAAACCAAACCAGCAAATGCAGGTTCACGTTTGTTTATTTATAGTGATGGGATGAAATACATTTAACCTCGGAATTAGCCAACCACTTTTTTTTTTTTTTTGAAATGGTGACAGTTCAAAGATGTGACCGTCTTGCTCAGCTTCAAGTCCTTTTTATAATGTTTCTTTGTTGTTTTCACTAAAGTCGAGCGTAATGGTAATAATAGTGTTTGTCTATTTTCAGGCTGGCTCCAATTGATTATTTTCCCTTACTTTTCCTGGCACTTTGACGCTATTTTATTTGTATGTCTGGCAAGAAGGAAAATAATAGAAGAGCCGAGACATTAGACAAATTCGCGGCGTTGATGGAAATGTTTCATCATCCTTTTCATGCCGAAAACCTTAAGTAAGAAACCAAGACAATACAATATTGTTTTGGCTGCGTCAGTTGTTACAGAGTCACGCCTTCGTTAATGGGTAGGGGTCAGTGACGAAGGAGTTTTCTCGTTCTCTAGTCATACCCTATATCTTCTTCATCTTCTATGCGTCATGTTCTTTCAGGATGTGGGCGATTATGGCTCTCCACAACTACTTATCTAATGTGGTTATAAGCAATGTTTATCTCCTTTGTTAACCCCCATCAGTTCCTCTTATGCCACCCATTTACACGTAGCTTGATGTTTCCATCTGGAACTAATGCCTTCAATATTTCTTCGTGAGTTTTAAATTCTTCAAACTTTCTTTCCTCATGTCGCCAAAATTTAAACTCTGTTTCTGATCCTAAACAAAATGTTCCTTTTTGTTTCTATTTCCCTTGAAACTTCCTCGTTGCTCGCATGTCCGGTCCATAGTATAGAGAGCGCCTTTCTATAGAAAGACGTCTCTGTTGTCGTATGTCGCCTCTTCATCTGAGTGGAAAATGTCAAGCATCTAATGCTATATAGGAGAATGGATAATGCATCGCAGTTTAGCACGCATTTCTTCGTTTCTAGCAAAATTGCCCTGTTTCTTAATACTTTGTTTGGCTTCTGAAAGGCATCTTCCGCTATTACGATACGCCTTCGGATTCCGCTGCCAAATTTTCCTTCCATTACACTTTACCGATGTTGAAAATGTGACAATGTTGCCCGTCTGTTCCCGCAGACAATTGTATTCAACAGCTTCTTCCTGTTACGAATATTAAGTATCCGTGGTTTACCACTGATTTACAGTCATATCACGTTGAAAGACCGGTTCTCATCCAATCACCAAAGTTAAGCATCATTAAGCCTGGTTAGTACCTAAACTGGTGACTTCATGGGAATACCAGATGCTGTGAAGTTGAATGTGCTTCTGGTGTGGTGGATAGCAACTCAGAATGAGAAATCGGAGAGCCGAGTTCGAACTCCGGTAGAGTTCATTATATTCGCTTATTTGTAAAATACTCGTGGTAAAAGTATGAATCCATCTCTTCACGCCAGTTATGGCTTATATAGTAGGATTTGTATCTGGAACAATCATTGTTATTCTAAAAAAAGCATTAATGCGAGAGTTATTATTACAATTCTAAACAGGTTTCGGCTTTAAATAAGTCACGAATGGTTGATAAACCGTAAAAAAATGAATGAAATAAAATGGAATCCAAGAGATTTCAATTGTTGTATTTACTTGATTTTGACTTTTGCATAGGCTGATGCATAAATCGTGTTTTTGACCAAATTCTTTGTTAATATTTACATGGGTAATAATTTCTTTAGATTTACATCTCTATGTAATACCAAGTGTAAGGAGCAATTTTAAGATTCAAACTAGAAAAAATATTCACCCGTTACTAACATTTATCTTTACATCTTATATATATATTTACATATATATATATATATATATAGAGAGAGAGAGAGAAAGAGAGAGAGAGATTTTTGCTAAGACTTCTAATGAATCATAAAACCTTAGCTTTTAGTGCTTTAAGATCACCGATTCTCAGATTCTAAAATATTTCTGTAAAGGATTTTTAATTAATTTTTTTCTTTTACAAATTATATAACTTTTCTTTTTTATCTTAAAAATACAAGCAATGCTCAAAAATAATCATTGGCCAACCCATGAGATACTTCTTGATGTCTGTTATAATTCAAAGTTCAGAGTAAACACCTAGTCAACCTATACACGATTATGTACGGTATTACAGATGAAGATCAATTAACAGTTATGAAGTATTTATTTATGCTATTTACATGCAGACTATTGATCTCATTTTTCTCGTTGTTATCACAATGTTTCGGCCCTCATCAGGTGTATGGCGATCCGGGTAACCAAATATGGAATTTCACAGCACTCATCAGCAGTCAGGTTAGGTTTAAGTCTCCAAGTGCTAACGTTAGTTTGTAAATTTGGTGACATAGTAATTTTGAGTTCAATCCCTAAATGTATTTGGACTCAGTGGAAGCAGGGGAGCCAATAATTGAGCAGTAATAATTAATAAGAACTGAACGAGATATCCCTAGACACAGGCAGTGGAACGAAAACATTCTACCCACGGAGCTCGGATTTCCCTGTAGGTTACCTGAATCGACATACGCATGTTAAAGTCCGGAGTCACAACAACAATAACGTTCGGGTAACAAAAGATGCGCGCAACAGATCGCATGAAAATAGTGTAAATAGTGATAACTCCACATGCCATAAATACAAAGAGAAATTAAGAATTCCTTGCGTAAAAATATAAAAATCGTTTTAAGAGTTACATATTGGAATAAGCAAGACTACACCCACACCAGAACCATTTATTCTTGTTTAAATCTGGGGATTTCAAGAAAGTGCGTGACAAGATGCGAGACTGCCAAAATTGACCTTAAAAATATTAAAACTTTAATATTAATAACTTTAAGAAATATCTTATCCATTAGAGACTGCCTGCTCAGCTCCGAATACACTGAATGCATCGTTTTAATGGAGAAACTGTATCAGTCAACAACATCTGATCACGACCTCAATACGGAAACATTTCACACCTCATCTGGAGTACGACAAGGAAGAAATGAGAGCCCCTATCTATTCAATCTTTTCCTAGATAGTGCCTTGAACATTTACAAGCACGGATGTGAAGTGATGGGAAGTCATCATTTAAGCATTCCATACCACATCCAAAATGAATCTACTTACTAGACGGCAAACATCCTGCTTTCACGTCCGTTGCCAATGTACTGATGACGAGGGGTGGGAAGCAATGCTGATGACATAGGTATTCATAGTTGGAATAAGAACGATCTTGAACAGTAACTCAACATCCTCTGCCAAGTGCTTCAAGAAATAGGACTCAAGATAAACCTTTCCAAAACAGAAACTATAATCTGGAATTGGAATGAAAGCAGTGATGGCACATGCCCTGAACCCATCATATAAAAAAATCAAGATGTAGATTTAGTAACTATTAAACACTTCAAATACCACGGCGTATGGATCAGTTATAATAAATTTAGTATAGCGCATGAGGAAATTAAACATAGAACAGACTGCGCTCAAGATAGTTTCACCCAACACAGCCAATTACTACAAAAACAAAACATTAACCTAAAAACTTGTCTTATGTTCGTAAATAACCTTGTCAGATTGAGACTTTCAAATGTGCAGAGCCAAACACCTGCAGAAATATCTGAACATCTAAATATCTAAATATCTCATGTGTATACAGCCACTTTCTAAGATCAATGGTTAAAAATGGCTTTGAGCGAATGAAGACTGAGGATCGTGTCAGAGATCATCCTTCTTCGAACCTTGTGAATTGGCGCTGCAGAATCACAAAGAACTGTACCAAATAGCAGAACTCACATTGCTTGAAGACTTTCAGCAGCAGCAACAGCTAAAATGGATAGCAACTGTAACTCAAAGAGAAAATAATGACGTAATCAAGATGTTAACATTCCATGCAACTTCAAATAAAAAGGTTAGAAAGGAAACCCCCATCAATACTGAAAAGAGCGACAGTTTCTACTGGACTTGAGAAACCAATTTTTCTGAAAAATAGTTTTAAGTCAAAGATTTGATAAATTACAAGCGGCAGTAGCACTGACGGTTCGATCGGTGAATGCCAATATGTCCTTATAAGGAAACGGCTATTATCATTAATATTATCATATTATGTACAAACTCAATATTTTCATAAACCTCTATCTCTCTATCTCCTTCACCATCTGTGCCTCTGTCTGTCTTTCCGTCTCTGTCTGTCTGTCTGTCCGTCTCTCTCTCTCTCTCTCTCCTCTCTCTCTCTGAATTTAAGGAAAACAGAATACAATAAAACCACTCTCCTTCGAAAAAAATCATATGTTAATGTGGAAGTCTGTGACAATGATGACAAATAGTAAGAATGCAGACATACATTAGTAGGTACCCTATATATATATATATATATATATATATATATATATATATATATATATATATATATAAAAAAATGTTAATAGTCAGGGTTGAATTAGACCAGGAAAAAAAGTGCTCAATATACATATAAAAAATAAAATTTTAACATGTAGAGCTTTTAAGTTAAAAAAAAAATTAGGAGACTTTGGGTGATTCTGGTGGACCCAAATTACCTGAAGATACCGAAAGGTTGAAACCAAGGTAGCGGAATCGGCTGGTCTCCTAATTTTTTTTTTAACTTAGATAGATAGATAGATAGATAGATAGATAGATAGATAGATAGATAGAAATGGCAGACAGGGATTTTTAAAAAGTTTTAGTTTATATTTATTCTTTATGAAATGTCTATCCAAATGTTGCTGATCCAGAACTTTCAGTTATTTTCAAGATCTGGATTCATGGAGACGTGTCATCATTCACATATTATAATATTCTGAATACGTGTTTGAAAATTGCGTCAGGTTAAAATTAATGAAAACATTAGAAATAAATACATAGAAGCAAAGAAAATATTAATGCCTCAACAGGAAGTAAGCAGAGATAGAAAAACTGCAGAACACAGACATGGTAGGCTTCCATGAAAGATAAAAGAATAAGAAGATAGAAAACGTGCTAATTGGCAGGATGCATAAAATAAAAAAAGGAACAATTATAATGGAATAAATAAAGATATCACAAAGATGGAACAAATATATCAGAGAGCTCTACAATCACATCATCAAATGAGAAACTTATAATGGATAAAACATGGGAAACTCCGCAATATTACAATTTAAGGTAAGATCGGCAGTGGTCAAAATGAGTACCAAAACAATCTGACCAAATTAAATTGTAATGGACATGCTGACACTTTAGACGATTTTAGGATCGATATGTTTACTGAAATGATAAATTAAATATATGACAATGGCGAAATACCGGAAGACTTTGTTGATCCATTTTGGTAGCGCTACAAAAAAAAAAAAAAAAGCAGATTCAAATAAATGCAAACTTCCACCGGATAATCAGCTTCATGAACAAAAAAAATAGGATACTAATGAACAAAACTAGTAGCTGAATTAGGCCAGAAATAAGACAAGAACAGTATAGTTTGTTCTAGCCACTAGAACAAGAAATGTAATTTTTTATGGTAAGAATGCTATCGGAGCGAGCAATACAAATGCCTAGAATCCTATACCTATGTTTCATAGATTAGACTAAAGTATTTGATAGGGTACGGCATGAAGATCTACTTGAAATATTAGAAAAGCTTGATTTACACAGAGAAGATATTCGAGAAATTCGTAACCTATACTCGGAACAGCCTGTATATGGATAGAGAACGAGTTTAATGAATACAGTAGGGTAGAAGGTTGCGTTTTCTCACTGGATTTAATTTGTATAGCGCGATTATCCTAAGGTAATTAGAAAACCTAACAGAATTTATAATTGATGAATATTATCTTATCTTATCAACATAAGAAACCTGTTCGATACTGCATTATGGGCAGGTTCTGAACTATTCAACAAGATAATAGAGGAAAGCAAGAAGAAAGTACTAACTATTAAACGTAAGAAATCAGAATGCATGGTTGTCAGCAAAAAAAGAAACATATTTGGGGATGTCACAATCAAGTTAGTATAGAAGTTTTAGTCATCGGATAGTGTAATAAAAAAACGACGGAAAATGTAACACGGAAATCAGGGATAGAAACTGTAAATCTTTAGAGATATAAAAATGTTATTAGAATCAAATAAAAGAGTGATGCACTGCTATGTAATAGGTAAACTTCCAGGTGACAGTAAATCTTGGACAGATAAAGAAGAGCCTTGAAGCAACAGAGATGTGTTTCTACCAACGATCGCTAAGAATCGCTGGAAATGTCTTTAGAAACGAAGAAAAGTTACGTCCACTTTTGGGAAAGGCATAAATTCATCCCTT